AAGGTCAGAAAGACAAAAGGAAACTAATGCAAAACTGAATACAATTGAAAAGGGTGACGCAGTATTTAAGAGGTAAGATCTTTAAAGATTCCCTGATCAAAATTCTCTCTCTCTCTCATATATATACGGCGAGATTGCATGAATGATTGAAGACTAAATTTGACTTTTGAAAATCCAATACAAAAAAAAAGGCCACAAGATGGCAAAACTGCAACTATAGTGTGAATGAGAGGTAGTGTTTGGTAAGAAAAGCACAAACTCTTATTTCTAACTTGCATACACGGTCAGTTATTGACGCTGTTACATCAGCTGTTGCCGCAGCTCCCGGCAAACGTGTAGTGTGCGGGACCGCATGAACAGCAGCTTCATCACCAGGGTCTAAGTCATGTTTGCGTAGCACTTTTTTGCCTCTTCATGCATAAATTAGCTTCCTGGAGCACAGCGTGCTGGAGTTCATGAACTGCATTGTGCCCACTCCATACAATCCCGTTCTCTCTATCGTCTTCCTCTCCAAACACAAAGTTTCATTTATACATTTTTTTACTTTTAACACGTCTCTCCGTTGAATGGAGCCGTAAACGGCGCAAGGTGACTTTCTGTGTAGAACTTAAGTACAGCTCTATATCACAATCTATCTGACGACTTGAGCAAGAAATGAGAGGAGGAAGTACACGTTTTCCTAAGACCCGCCCCCTTCTTCTTCTGATTGGCTAATAGGGGTGTAAATCACACCTATCATGGTGATTCGATTCAGTGTCGATTTCCTGACCCAGCAATTCGATTAGTTTTGATACTCAGGAATAAACCACGATACGATTCGATTAATGGGTTCTACTTTTTTTTTTTCTTTTACACCTTAAAGGCTTGTTTTTAAAAAGTGATTTTCTTAATCCACGGGCAATCGCTACGAGCTGGAAATCCGGCCGGAGGCCGGAATACTTCAATCCCTGCAATATTGTAAGGTTACAGCAGCAGACTACAATGCATTTCTTTTTTTCAATGCACTTTTAGAGCACAGTTATTTTAGCTTGTTGCAAGAGGAGGCAAACATCTCCAAAAACTCTAACTTAGGCTATTCTCCTTCAAGTTTTTGTGAGTACAAAGTTTGGTATCCAGTATATGATAATCTACCATGAACAAAAACTACAGCGGGAGTCACCATCAATTTCAAAATGTACTTTCCTAATGAAGCACTACAACCTCTAAATGTTCTCACCGACTGATTTCCCAGCTGAGGTAAAGTCTGGATGCGTTGGGCATTCCACTTGAAGGGCATATTAGGGTTGTACACGGCTTCCACTAGGACCCTGTCCCCGACCTGGGGAGTTTTCCCCTTCACAGCACTATGAAAGGTTAAATAAGGATAATTAGAGAGGAAATTGTCTGAAATAGACCCCAGTCTTGTTTCCTAGCAAACAACAGAGCATCTGACAATGACAGCACTTCCCACCTTAGCTGAAAGAAGACGTCTTCATCTACAAAGCCAAACGTGTCATGCAGTTTATTGACTACACCAGTGAAGACTCGCTGCTTCTGTGGCTGCGTCTGCTGTTGGTGGCTTGAACGTGGCGTTGGATATGAAACCGTAATCTGGGCTGTCTGCTGAGGGTTGGACAAGCTCAAGCTGGTGGGCAATGCGACGGGGGGCTGAAGATTACATTGAAATTACAAAAATTGTATATATATATATATATATATATATATATATATATAAAATTATATATGAATAATAAACCAATGTTACTCAATTAAAATCAACAGAAGCATAGCCCTACAGTAAAACAGTTTGAATGGTATGTACTAAATGCATTAAATTTACCTGAGAGATCAGTGCCTGCTGAGGCTGAGGAAGCTGAGAAATAATCATAAGGAAATGCAAATTTTGATGATTTTGCTGATTGAAAGCAATGATGCTTACAGAGGATCTAACATACTGACATCACAAATTTAATTTAAAAATAAGCAATACTGTAATATGTAACCAAAATTAATGTGGAGAAGTACAGTATAAAAAATGATGATTGATAAAATTTCTGACAATAAAATTCCATAAAACTCCATAAAATTAAAAATGTGACAAAGCCAATTATTCACCTGATGAGGTACATTATACAGTTGCTGAGGTGGTTGCTGGGGAGGTTGCTGTTGCTGCTGATACTGCTGAAGTGCTGAATTGATCTGAGACTGCAAGCAACAAGGAGAACATATCCAATGGTTAAAGGGTTATATGAGACAATAACACATTTCTGCCTGAGCTCTGAACAACTAGAGTGACTGACCTGCTGTAAAGCAGCAGCTGCAGCTGCTGCAGCTTGCTGCTGCAAGGCAGCAGTTTGTTGGGACAGCTGATAGTTTGCTGCAGACTGGTTACTGAGAGAAGCTGCAGCCAACGCTGACTGCTGAGAGTAAACGGAGGGTGACGCTCCCAGAAGAGACTGTTGCTGCACCCCAAGAGCTGCAAGTGTTAACCAAGAACAATAATGATGAAGTCAGTGAAGCTGTTAGATGTTTTAATCCATTCAAGGTGGGTCTGTTCTATTTGACACCAGAGTAATCTGTTAGCTTTAAGAGCTAATGTAGAGTAGCTGCCTATAATAGATATGGATTAATACAAAAGAAATCTGAACACTCTTGTGTGAAATACAGTCAGTATGTCATTATGCAAATCGCTGTTTGCAACTTTTCAATTGCATGGATAAATTAAATTCATTACCTATAAAACTCTCTTTAGGGGAATCATGTAATTAAAAAAAACCAATAGTACCAAAATTATAGCAGTACATAGATTTACTCCAGTCTACTGGAAGCAAAAAAAAAAAAAAGAGATATACCTTAGTATATCACAGAAAGCTAAGACAGATTGCAACAGCCCAACGTTTTTGGTTTACTGTACTCACAATGCAGGCTGTTGAGGTCAAGAGACTGTCCTGAGTGACCTGGCTGAGACACGGATGTGGCAGCAAACTGATTTGCCCATGGCGGATTCTTCTGTCCCCCGAACTGGGCCATGCCTCATTCAGCTTTAGGGCAGTCTCTGTTTACCAGGTCAATTCAATGCTTAAAACAGAAAAACCAAACATGGAAAATACAAATGTTAAACCTAAAGACTATTATAGCAAAAAAACAAATTCTTGATGCAATTACCTTATAGGGTACGCAATTTGTATCAAAATCAAAACATATTTCTAAAGTAAAAGCCCAATATAAGGAAGGCAATGATGGACTAATCTAAACAAAATTATCAATGCCATCTGATGCAGCCTATCCCTCTTTTTACAACTGTCACCACCTCAGTGGAGCCGCAACTCTAAGCGGAAATGACTGTTCAAAAGACAATTTGTGTTAACCTAGTTACAAGGAATATACATAATTGTGTTTTCATGCACTTTCTAGATAACTGCCACCCATTTTTGTTTGCTCATCAGCAAAAATAAGTAATACTTTATGTAGCTTCACAGTGTATGCTTTGAATTTTGTTCATCTTTTCCTAACAAAGGAGGAAAAAGGCCATAACTAGATCTGTAACTTTCTGATTCGTCAATCTTATATTCTGTAAATACTGAACTGCTCTATTTTTGCTATGAAAAAATATAATTTGACCTCATTGGCAGTAATCAACAGTCAGTTTAAGTACATAAGTCTAGTGCAATTGATGTGAGACTATTCTAGCTACATATTTTTTAAATGCTTCAATTTCATCAAGAAATATCCATATTTTCATGTAATAAAACCCTGTAACACTTATTGCTGTATGATTTGGCACCAACAAAGCTTCATGTGAGCTTTGAGAAGAGACGTTTAAACTATTAAAACTTCTGCAAACCTCATTAAATTAAATCGCTATTGAACAGGCAAGCTCCATTGCCAATAAATAGTGAATTAATTCAATTTTCAGTTTAGGATTAGGAGATAAACAATACACGTTAACAGGACCTATCGTTACAAATGGCCGACTATTATTCATATGGATTATTTTATACCTTAATCCGATATCGCTAAAATTTAAAGCGGTTCTTAACTTTTTTTTATATTATCAATATGCGTTTACATGCCAACGGAGGCTAACAGGAGGGCGAACGCAAAGGACCAGCTAGCATATATTAGCCAGGGACTCAGTTCTGCGTTAACAAGTAAAGAAGCACGAATTTTAACGTTTGTCTGGCAAGCTAAAGGAAAATTAGCTGTTTGTCACGAACATGTAATTTATTTTGCACCATTAGTGCTGTGACCTCACCTATCCAAACGCACCTCGTTTAGTTCTTAACATATTTTACAGAGCAACCGCTGAATCAAAACATATGGCTAACACCTAGCATGTGCTAGCTAGCGTTGTTGCCAGATTAGCCTCGTGCTAGGCTAATGCTAATGAGCGCGAGCAGCGAGGCCCAGGCAGAGAGCAGTAAATGACAGAGGTTAAAACAGTATCAAAGCCAGTGGTAAAGCAACAGCATGGTTCTTGTGCAGTTTAATTATGATTAAGGGAAACATTAATAAAGTCAAATAAAATATAGGTTTACAAAAAAAATACTGACTCACCGATATATCCCTGGCGGTTGGTAATATGAATTGCGCATGCGCAGGAGAATGACCCCTGAGCCATGTGGCCAAGTCCATAGATATAGTTATTATGGATATCTATGGCCAAGTCTGCATGAAGTGGCTGATAGATGTACTGTATTCGGATATGAGCGATCTAAACTCAACTTTAGCTGTATATCAGGTACATCTCAAACAGAGTAATATCTACTTGTTTTTGCAATTGTCACACCTGACACCACTTTAGGAAAATAAAGGCATGATTTATCCTATTTTCTTGTCACAATATCTGTACATGTGTGCACCATAATTGTCATGTAGGTATAATTTATTTTATTATTTTTGCTGATTTAAAAGGTCTGCTACTTTTTAAAACTGTTCTGATCATTTTACTATATGGTCAACTTTTTAATTTAAGTAATAGACACAGGACAGAAGAAAAAGTCAAATTGAACTTTAATGGGATTTAGGACAAATACAATGTGGAGCACAATGCACAGACATTTCCTTGGAGATATCATAATGTGAGCCTACTTTCACAAGAGGTAATTTAACCCATTTTCCATCATTTAATTTAGTAATAATGTATATAATAATGCATTTATATTTCTTTTTTTTTCCTTTTGTGTTAAGTAGCAGCAAATGAAATAACTGTCAAATTTTCCAGAAAGTCATCAACTTCACAAAATCATGATCTTGACAAAATATTCTCTTTCTTATCATACAATATTTATAAGAAATAAATACAACACCACATTTACAATAATCACAGCAGGACACTTTTCTTTAGCAACCAAAAAAACTGTATATTACCTTTGTTTAAGAACGGGACCAACAGCATATACATGCAAATTACAGTTAGAATATCTAGGGTGGAGGCAAAAACAAAAGCCTGGAAATAATTTTCTCCTTTCAAGCTTTTGTTCCAGTATTATCAACAACTTGAATACTCGTTTTCATCTTGTGTTTACAGACATTTTGGCTGATCGATTTCACAAACTAGTCATCTGTAAAGGATGTTCTTAATCTTGTAGTTTACGCTCCACTTCTTCAAAAACCTTTGCATTGATTTCATCCACTTCGTCTTCCACCTAGGCAAAAGATTAGACATAAGTAATGTTATTCTTATTGCGTTGTCTTCATTGTAAAAACTAAGTTAAAGGAAAGTTGTTGGGATGAGATAAATTTATGGTTAATAAAAAAAAAAAAGTGTAAATATAAAATAGAGATTATATCTAAATCCAAAAGGTACAAGGTGCACTTTTTATATTCAGTATAAATGGTAACGTACTTTTATTTAAGAAAAATATATATAATGACAGTGAGGATTATTGGAACTGTTTGCTCTAGCACCTTTTTTAGCCTCTGAGTAGCCTCAAAGTATAACAATATGTGATGAGAATCTGTGCTTCCCCCACTGCTTTCCTGCTTTCCCCCCCCCATCTCTGTAGGATGGGATGTTAAAAAACCATACTGACCAGGTAGCATATTGTTATATTTCAATCATGAGATGTTATAAGTTCCAGCATTTCTTTGCAGAGAAAGTGGCCCATGATGCTGAAGTTTGTTCTTAAACTGGAAGGTTGCCAATTCAAACTTCAGTTATTTTGCCCAAGTCATCGTGTGCTTGGGTAAAAGACTTAACCCCCATTGCCTGTCACCCAATGGCAAGTCAAAATCACCAGAAGACAATATTAGGAATCCTTTTGTACCTTACATAATAATGTAAATACAGTAAGTACTTAACCTTATTCTAAATCTGGAGTCAGGTTAGGTAAATCCATTAAATTACAAATAAAAAAAAAGTTTTAAACTTAGCTTGGGGCCATCATGACACAAAGGCATCTGGAGGGCTAAAAAAATCATTCCTATGGTTAAGCTTTTATAACTTGTTAAAAAGCATTTACTGCAAATAAATATATCAGTCATATCTTTTATTTAAGTAGATAAACCAATTGACAGAAAAAAAGGTTATTTTGGCACCTGCTCTACGTTGTCCACCTCTGGGATGTAAAACTGCAGCATGTTCTGAATACCGTTTTTCAGAGTAACCGTGGAGCTGGGACATCCTGTGCAGGATCCCACCAGCTTTAACTTTACTGTTCCGTTCTCAAAACCTTTAAAGATGACGTCACCTCCATCTTCTTGCACTGTCGGTCTTTATGTCAGAAAGAGACAACATGTATTTGTACAGAATAGAAGCACGGAAAACAGTCTAATCAAGAATATTACCTCAAAACAGCAAAGGAGAAACTGTCAGCATGACATTTTTTTCCCATTAAAACAACACATTATCATTCTATCATTATTTTAGTGGAACTAGATAAGTGTAGACAGTGATAAACTGGTAGTTTTTGTACCTAATTCTGGTGTCCAGAAGCTCCTTTATCATAGACACAATATCATCATCGTCTTCAGAGAGGCCTGTACCAAAGGAACCATTAAGCATTGCAAAAATTTGAGTAGCTCATTTAAGTCCTGGGCAAGATGTTAAAACAAAAACTTACTGCTCTCATGGTGCACTGCTCCTGTTGTTATTGGATCTCCACTCTCAAAGAACTTGGAAATTGCATCTAAAACATGGCGCTTAATGGCTGTCCATTCCACATCCTCGTCCGTCTGACAGTAAAAACAACATACCGTAATCTCATTTGCTATCCCCCTAAAAAAAATTTACTTTTGCAGAGATTGACAGGCAGACGAGCAGAGATACTTACTTTAGTGACAGTGATGAAGTCGGGCCCAAAGAACACACTTTTCACTCCCTCAATTTCAAACAGGTCCCTGAAGGAGACACAATTGCTTCAATACATTTTAGATTAAGAAAAGAAAAAAAAAAAAAACACGATGAGGGGTTTGGCTTACAGTGTGTTTGAAAGAAGGATTTACATGATGGTTTGATCTTTAAAACACAAGGCTTAAGGTTTTAAAGTTTTGGACTCTGGGTTTCAAATTAGATAAGGATTTCTCAAAAAAATACAGATAATTTTGGCGTTTCTCTTGTGCAGAAACACACAACTTTAGTCAATTACTGATTCTCCAAGAGCCAAAAAAACACTAAATATTTAAGTAAATATGTAATAGGGGGATGTTTAAGGTCTCTAATTGTGTACTGTGTTCACAGTGAGTTAAATAACATAATTTTACATGACCATATTAGTAATCGAGCCAGAGTATGGACAGGGCAGTGCTTTTTGAATAGCAAAAGGAGGAACATTAATCTATATGGCAGAAATTCATACTGTTTTGATTTAGTTGGGTATATACTATACCAGGGTTATACAGGAATGAACAACTCTAATTTAATGCTTTTTAATGCTCTTTTAATGCTCTTAAAAATAATGTTAATGCAACAAGTACCCATGACTCTCATATATACACGGCAAATTCCTTCTTCATCTTTACTGTCGGCAGGCCGCAATTCCTCGATTTCCGGCCACTTTTGTTGAAATTAGCATTTTCCTTTAGCTTCTTTTCCGGACATACGGCTTGACGATCAGCCGGAAGCAGCAATATTTTTGCAAATATATATATCATTTTAGAAATTGTTTTTATAAACATTTTCTTAAATAAAGCATTTTAAATGAAAAAATAATCACATTTAATGAATTTTAATGCCAATTCAGGCCTTAATTTAAAAAAATAATTATTTAATGACTTTTAATGACCCGTGGAAACCCTGTGTACACGTCTAGGTATATTTAAAGAGTTTAAAGTCTGGGTTTAGTTGCCATTTCTTTGGATTTACTTTCATAACAATCATTGTTTTAGTGCTCAGATAAAAACAGATTTCACTTTGCTGGGCATCAGAATCGGTGTGATAGGAACAGTCGTTAATACAGCACAACGCTGCATAGTGGGACATTGTTTGGGATTCTATTTTGAATCAACAAAGCAAAGTGCATTGCTTATATTGACCCATTACCTCGCTAAAGATGAGGATCCAGCTGAGCTTGGGGAAGGGAAGTCCAGCGTACCGCTTCCCAGAACAGGTTTCCCAGGGAGGAACTTCAAGCTTCTTGGGTTTGGCGTATCTTGAGTCTGAATGGACAGGTTTCTCACTGGAAAAAGTGACACAACTAGATGCTTGGTAGGGATAAACAAAATATCACAACTTACATAATGTGAGTCTGGAGGCTAGTGTCTCACCTGAGAAGTATGTAGCTCCTGTCTCAGGATGACGCAGGAACCCCCTGAAGCTTAACACTGTAGTTTGTGAGTGATCTGTTAACCTGGTGGAAACGTGACGAGTTTGTCATACTCAGTTTTAATTGGATTAAGTAATGATTGAAGGTACAGTTAACAACGTCCGTTGTCACATGATAAAAAAGACTACAGATAGAAGTGATTTAGCGGATAAAACTAGATAATCAGTGCTAGTAGACTTTTATCAGAGTAAACTTTATAAACCACCAATAACCTGCGTAATTCATACAAATCGGTGAAACTGTAAGCTTAAACATGTTATTAACCGGTTTTCGCATTCACGGACTTCAGGGGTTAAGCCGGTTGTTTGCTTTTTGGTTTGGCAATTAGCATGGTACCTCGCTAAATCTCCACCGGACAAAGATAAGGCTACTAATAGGCGTCAGACAGCCCTTTACATGCATCATATCTGCTATAAAACATATCTAACACATTATTGGGGGCAGGTAAGAGACGTAAAACCTGAGGAAAGCTTTGGTTTGGGTCCGCATTAGCCGCTGAAGTCCCCATCTAATGGTCGCCGACATTTTGTTTGTTTTGAAGTTGAGGACCCCATATGGTGTAGTCGCGAATGCCTGATCCGAGGGTCCTGTTCTTTTCCTTCTGTTCTTCAAAGTTATTACGAATTTACTTACCTGACTTATTTAATTTATCAAACAAAAATCATAAAATATTTCAAATAAAAAAGCTCTTTGTAAAAAAAAAAGTAGTTTGCATAACTTCCTAAAGCCCTCAATCATAAAAAAAAACATTGCCTGTCAGATGGGTTTAAATTCAGCAGCAAAATCCCAAAATGATTAATTAAACTAAACATGTCTTTGTTACGTAAAAGATGATACATTATAGATTAATTGGTTCGTTATTGATTGATTTTTTTTATTTATTTTTTTTTATTATTATTATTATTATTATTATTTTTATTTAATTGATGGATTCATTAATTTAGAATATTTAGAATCATACGCTGTGGTGACAGAGATTGTTACCAACCCTGATGATCTGACAATATTTGTCAAATCTGATAAAGTTAAACTGATATTGATTTTTATCACCTGTGCAAAGATTTATTTTTTTAAACAAAATAGAAAAGTGGTGCCACTTTCCGGTAAAATTGACCAGGGAAGGAGCTTAGGTTATTAAATTATTAGAGATTTTTCACTGCTTAAAAAGTCTTAATAAACATATATAATCATATATATCTTTTAAGAGTTAAAAAATTCAAAATCAGAAGACAAGATTAATTATTTCAAAACGGTTTCCCATCATTGAGTAAAAAAACAGAAAAACAAAAAAACAAAAAACTAAGCAAACATCACAAACAATTTAAACCCTGCAAAAAATAAACATCAGATTTTTAGCTTCACATTTTACAATATGATTTCACTCCTATTCTTTTGGTCACTTTGCTTTAAAATATACAACTCCACATTCAGAAGATGGTCACTAGGAGTCTGTTAAGAGTAAAACAAACAATGTGATAAAAAGAAAGAAGGCCAACCCCCTGTGTCCCAATACTTTACTCCCAGAACAAGGTGGTGCTTCAAAGGAGTGGCAGAAAGGCAGAAGGAGACTTGTACACAGAAGCTCTGGACTCCTGATTGTGGAGGACTCACTTTTACAACACATAGCTAACTGCTTATTTAAAAAAAATATAAATATATATAGGCTATATATATATATATATATATATATATATACAATCTATTTATTTACTACAGATTTTTGTTTGTTTGTTTTGTTTGTTTTTATGGTTTTGTTACCAAACTTCACCTGAAGATTTTCTGCTGGCTCTATGAGGAATACACACACCTGCGCAGAAGTCTGACACAGAGCGTGTTGGAGACAAAAGAAATCCTTGTTTTTGATTTCATTCTTCTTCCTTAACCCTGAGACATGGTGCTCTGGATCATCCTTCCCATCTCATTGTCGCTGGTGTCCTTCATTGGAACATGGAGCGTGTGAGTTTTTATTGACAGTGTCTCTAATGACTGTATATCCTGGTGAAAAGACAACATTTCATTTTTACAGTTTACAGTCTGCTGCTTTGTGTGTGCTAGAATTAAATGGCAAATTTACAATAGTTTTACTTGTTTTTCACCTTCTAAGCAGATATAATTAAATGTTTTTCTTTTTTTAAAGCTGATAGAACAACTTAGTACACAAAAAGTGGCCTGTCAGAACAATGTCGTTGTTACCGGGGTAATAGCATCCTGTATATATCAATGGGCAAAAACAATAAAAACACAATGGAAGACAAATTATATTGATAAGAGTTGGCCCTGACATTATTCTGTCAAGATTAGGCAACACATAATCTTTAAAAAGTCATCTAAAATAGAGAGTTATAAAAGCACAAATGAACTTATATGTCCCCTGTGTGTATCCTTGAGAGAAACGACTGAAAATATGTGACCTGGCAAGTATATCGTGGGGTGTGCTAGGCGGATAGGCAAGAAAATCTTGAATACATCAGCTACATAATAGATTTCAATAATAATTAATAAGTTGAACTGTGAGTTTAAAGTTTATTTCCTCCTGCTCCCCCCCCGTATTTGGTTCAACCATTAACATTCAAAGGCAGGTACAACAGCATTTTCAACCAGTGCTGGTTTCATGTTTCAGTGTTGCATGAAAAATGAATAAGTTGGTTTAACCTGTTTTAATCTGCTGAAAAAAATAACTATAACTTCTGTTATGATTTCAGAAACCTCTCAAAAACATAGAGGGGAGCAATTTAAATATAAAATCCATTATATCTCCTGCAATCTTTTGGCAAAAGCAAGAATAAAATATATTTATTACAGTTTTTTTTTCTTGATGCGTTTTCTTTCAGATATGGAATGGCTTACTCCAACAATCACGTGTGCTCACTCAGTGATTGGTAAGTTGACTCTCTTTTAAGTGTTCTAACCAATTTTGTTCTAACTCATAAATGGCAACTTTTTTTATTATTATAATTTCAGGAGTGGTGCGAATTACTGCAGGGAGAATAAAACAAAGGGATGTTGCTTGGCTCCTACCATAAGGTAAAAAGTCTGAAACCTTAACGTCTTATTTTGAATTGAATTTTTGACATTGTTAATAAAACAAGCTTTGTTATTCCAGTGGAAGTGGGACTTATGCTCCAGAGAGTTCCCTTTTTACAGCAACCATGAACGCTGGGACCTTTCTATGTGAGTTTAGCAGCAAAATGTTTATACTTTATATCTGAAGTGCCTATAAACAGTAAACGAATGCCAGGACCAACTCTAATTAAATTAAACACGGATTATGAGTTTCTTGGCTGCATTTCTGATAAACGTTCCATTTGTCTGGCCTCTCAATTCAGGTGGTGGCCATATGTTAGATCTTAGCTTGTGTGAACTTCCTGATCTGACATCTGAAGGCCTTTTGTGTTATGGATTTTATTTAGGGGCATCTGATTGAAAAGAGCTTACCGTAATACAAATAGATTTCACGCTCTGCAGATTATGCATCTATTCATCTTTTTCTAACCCCTAAAAACCACAATGAAACATACAAGTTTGAGATTGTAAAATATGAAAAAGGGATATAAATATTTTTGCAAGGCAGTGTACTTCATGTTCTGATATGTGCCATTTAAACTCTGCTTTCTTCTTTAGTTCTGCTGTTCACCATATTCCATCATGCCCATATAATGGAGAAGCACATGTGCCATTCCATGCTGAGCAGAATTGCATTAGCGTTTGGATTAGTGGCAGCTATCGGGGCCTTTGGGGCTGGAAACTGTAACGTAAGTGATTGTTACTGCCGAGTAATATTCAGCAATAATAAAGGGAGCAGGAATCCAAGGGCCTGCACAGCAGAGAGATACTTTATACAAACAGGAGCTATAGCCATAAATACTTATATCAAAACGGAACTGTTTCAATTGACAACCTGTGTTAAAAGGGCAAACAAAGGCAGAGCACTATTTGTTTAAAGCCCTCCTTAAAGATTTCCAGCACAAGAGATGTATTATTTTCTCTTAAATAGATCATAATGTTGCACAGAAATAATACATAACTTTTGATCCTAGATTCAGGTATATAAAGATGTCAACCGGGTCAATAAATTATTTGCTGGTTCCCCCCTACTAAACTAATCACATGCATTCTTTTTTAAATACAAGCATTACCATCATAAGGAAATGAAAAAGCCAAACTATAAAAATAGCTTATTACTGGCGTTAACATAGAAATATATATACTGTTCATGTTTATATACATTTACAAATTGGTTCATAAATATGGTGTGTATTTGGATTCAATCCCTTAAGATCAGTTCTTTGTATGAGACCCTTTTGGATGAGCAAGATCTTAATGGAAAAAAACAAAAAGAAATGCAAACCATGCATAAGTTTGGGAAAGTAAGAACATTTTTGCAAAAACATTGATCTAAAGGCAGAATTTGACAATATAATGATATATTTTACACAATTTATGGGTTTAAAAGCCAATTGCTAAAATGATGGCATCTATACACTTGTCATTGTATATATGAAAAAAAAAAAAACATGAAAATATTCGTTTATTCAACTCTTCATCCATTTGTCCTGATCATAAAAAAACTTGTGATTTCTCTCCATAGCCAGGTGATGTCACATTCATGCACTACCTTGGAGCTGCTGTCAGTTTCACGTCTGCCTGCTTCTACACCATCCTGCTCACCACGCTGACTGCGAAGTGCGTTCTGACAGGGTTCGAGAAGTTCCTCTTCCCTCTGCGCATTTTTTTCACAGTGGTTCAAATCATTGTGACTCTTGGCTGTATCCTTTCAGAGTGCTTGGTGCCAAATCAGCTTTGTTTGCTGAAGGGATTATGCCTTTGTTAATAGAATTTTTATAATTTGCATGATCGTCCCATTTAAATACACTTGATTAGATTAAATATATCTGAAAACATTATAGGTTATAGTGCTTCTTGGTTAACTAAATGGGACTGACTGCTATGGAATGCATGTTAAAAGGACATGGCTTAAAAGCTTGACTAGGTTAATTTTTAACAAACACCTTCCTCGGGCAGTTTATTGTGGGAGTGAATGAGAGCAGAAAATCCAATAATTTATGATCAATCCAGTTTTCAACCAGTCAGAAACAATATTTCCAGTTATTATCATGCATCTAACTTTGTCCAACAGATCCTTTACTCCAAAGCCTGCAGATACCTTTTTGTTTGTCCAAGAAGAATACTTTTACCACCATCTGTCTGCTGTGTTCGAGTGGAGCCTTAGTGTCAACATACAGATGTTTGAGCTCACCTACACCGCTGAGTTTTTCTTCTTCTCGTCATTCATGGTTTCAAACCTGCTGAGCCAACGGGAGGAGGAAAAGCCCTTGATAATATCCATGTCCTGATATATGGCGGCCAGGGTCCAGCAAGAAAGCACGGACAGTGATGAAGGACAAAGAAGGACATCAGTAACAACAGTGGCTGGATCCTGGCTGAAGTTTCAATAGTGTTTTTTTTATGTAGTTTCAGCCTGCGATGGCTTGGACCTGGATCCTTTTCCTTGGGAGGGATTTTTCCACGGCATTTCTGTTTCTTAGCTCATATATTTATTAAAATGCCAACTGCAACAGCAAAAGAACAAAACATGTATTTGTGCTTTATACACAATGCCTTGCAAAAGGATTCCTTCCCTTTGAACTTGTTCCATATATTTGACACATTAACCACAAACTTCAATGTATTTTTTGTGGGATTTTTTTATGACAGACCCTGATGCATAAATGTGAGGTGGAAGGAAAAATACATTTTTCAAAATTGCTAAGAAAATATGAAAAAAAAAAAGTGGTATGTATATTCTTTCGGTAAGTATGTCAGTATGTTATGCAACAATCTTCCACTGCAATTACTGTCAGAGACCAACATTTCTGTCCATTCTCTTTTGTTATTTAGCTCAGGGTCAGTCAGATTAGAGAGAGAATTTCAAGTTTGGCACGGATTGTTCTTTGGATAGATTGGTTTGTTATGACCTCATTTGAAACCATTCCGCAGGTTTTACAATTTGGGTTACTGCCTGGCTGGAAGGAATACTTGCTACTCTGTATTTAAACATGGCATGATGCTACCTCACCAAAATGTTAAGTTTTGGTGTAATAGGACTAGCGCACCATATTTCACATGAGCAACAAACACAAACTGGCAAAATAAGAGAAAGAAAGACAGAGTCTGAAAGCAGATGTCACACTTTTATAAACCATCTTCCTTCCATCTCCCAGTTTTGCTGTACTTTTCCTTGTTGAGTTATTTAAAAACTTGATAAAATACATTCAAATTTGTGGTTTCACTTTAGCAAAATATGAACGTGGGTGTGAATAGTTTTTCCAGCGGTCTGGCTGCGTTACCTTATGGAAAGGATGGCTCTGATGAAAAGATTTGATAAGATGTTTATGCTAATGTTTTGTTTTTTTGTGTGTACAATAACCTTTAAATGTTGACAATATACCAACAAACACACAGTATAGATATGACGTTTAGGCACTTTAATAAATTTAAAAAGTCATGTGTTATATAACAGGATTTAATGTTGCTCACAGGTGGAGGAGGGTGGAGTTCCAGCAGCTCCTAAAGATCCTGTTTGACTAGATGACTAAAGCCAACAGACTTTTAATTGTTCATTCTCACTTAAAACAAACAGACGTCATCGTCCCAAAATGTAATTTTCCAATAGGGTGTTGTCGGCTTAATCTAGCACATTCCCAGAGTGAACCTGTCATGTATTATGAATCAAGGGTTAAAAACTCTTTAAAAACAGTCCCTCACTGATTTTAAAGGAATGTCATAACTGGTAGAAATTGTATGTAACACAGAACATCTGTAGAGGTGTTGGTTTTTTTTTTTTTGTACAAGTTTGTCTAAAACCCACCTTTATAGAAAATGTGAATCATTTCAAATTCTCATTTGTAGAGTTTCTCTTTAACGCATGATTGCCAGGTCCTAATTTTCCAAGAAACGCCTTCAGATTCTCTTCATCTATGATGCATGTTTTTCAAAGTTTCTCTCAGCTTTGTTGAAAAACATCATGAGGCGAAGGATGATGCTACTAGAATCCAGCTGTAATGGTTTTAATAAAACTGTACCATATACTTCAGTTCAAAAAATAAGAGTTTGCTATTTCATGAGAAAATATAAACTGATTTTTATAAAATGGAGAAAAACAAAGAGACAGATAAGCCTCTAATTACAATTTGGTATAAATAGTTTTGCTTGGAAAATCAGTCATAGTAATCACAGATATCCATGTTGTTGGACCAACACCAGTGGATGAGATATTGTACTAGATTTATAAAGTGGATTATGTTCCTACCCACTTCTCCAGACTTTTATTGCATAAATGAAGATGTAAGTAGGCATGTGTTTGAATGTCTATATATTTAAATGAAGATAAAATCATTCATTTTCTAACTTAATTGACTCTTGGAAAAGAATGGACTAGTAAATTAAATAGGAACTGAGAATATTGATGCTGCTATGCACTATAGGAGGGTGAATGGGGTATAGTTAAATACGATTTATATCTTCATACCCCCTTTCAGACATTAGCACTAAATTATACATATAACAATTGTATACATGTCATAATACATGCATGTTAAAGCTGTAAAGAGATAATTATTTTTACTGGGTTGTCTGAAATCCTGACCTCACCTGAAAATTACTGCCAGGGATTTTTAGCTTGAGAGCTACTTTTTGTCTTAATATTCTTTAACAGGTTATGTGACTCCCAGTAATTTGAATAAAAAAGGAATATATGTTTGCATGTAATTGTGCTTTGGCAATAGAATACTGCCATGGCAATTGAAAAAAAACAAACAAAACAACAGCTTCAGTTCGTTTTCTCCCTTTAAAAGTTCTCCCAAATTTTGCAGAATTCTGGTAAAAACTGCGGTTTTCCCCTTTTTTGTTCAACATTTTCCTTGCACTCAACTATCAATGAACGTTGATGGATGAACAACTCTGAACAACCAGCTTCTTCTGCAATGACATTTTGTGGTTTACCATCATTATCTGTGATCTCTGGACTCACCTCAGGTTGGCAATCTTTTCCACGACTTTGTCAGCTATATTATGGCAAATACATAACATTTGAACATTTAAGTTTCATTCATCCATCCATTTTCATCTGCGGTGGGCCATTTAAGTTTATAATATACTTTTCTAGGACAGAGAATATTATAAGTATGGTTAGAATATCTGAATGATGAATAAATATGTTTGTTTTTTTTTGATTGACTCAAACTCCAGCAAACATTGCTATTTTAGAGTCACTTAATTTATAATAATCTGTTTTTTGGGAATCATTATTAGTAAGACTATAGTTGTGGAGATCAATGTAGAGAAAATAATTACATTTGTATGCAACATCTGCACGGTCAGTTGGTTGTAAACAAACCCATAGTATTTTCTGGAATATACAGGTGCTGGTCATAAAATTAGAATATCATGAAAAAGTAGATTGATTTCAGTAATTCCATTTAAAAAGTGAAACTTGTATATTATATTCATACATTACATACAAACTCATATATTTCAGATGTTTATTTTGTTTAATTTTGATGATTACAAATGACAACAAATGAAAATCTCAAATTCATCATATCAGAAAATTAGAATATTGTGAAAAGGTTCAAAATTGATGGCCCCTGGTGCCACACTCTAATCAGCTAATTAACTCAAACCACCTGCAAAAGCCTTTAAATGGTCTTTCAGTCTAGTTCTATAGGCTACACAATCATGGGGAAGACTGCTGACTTGACAGTTGTCCAAAAGACGACCATCGACACCTTGCACAAGGAGGGCAAGACACAAAAGGTCATCGCTAAAGAGGCTGGCTGTTCACAGAGCTCAGTGTCCAAGCACATTAATAGAGAGGCGAAGGGAAGGAAAAGATGTGGTCGAAAAAAGTGTACAAGCAAGAGAGATAACCGCACCCTGGAGAGGATTGTGAAACAAAACCCATTCAAAAATGTGGGGGAGATTCACAAAGAGTGGACTGCAGCTGGAGTGAGTGCTTCAAGAACCACCACACACAGACGTATGAAAGACATGGGTTTCTGCTGTCGCATTCCTTGTGTCAAGCCACTCTTGAACCACAGACAGCGTCAGAAGCGTCTTGCCTGGGCTAAAGAGAAACAGGACTGGACTGCTGGTGAGTGGTCCAAAGTCATGTTCTCTGATGAAAGTAAATTTTGCATTTCCTTTGGAAATCAAGGTCCCAGAGTCTGGAGGAAAAGAAGAGAGGCACTTCATCCACGTTGCTTGAAGTCCAGTGTAAAGTTTCCACAGTCAGTGATGGTTTGGGGTGCCATGTCATCTGCTGGTGTTGGTCCATTGTGTTTTCTGAGGTCCAGGGTCAACGCAGCCACATACCAGGAAGTTTTAGAGCACTTCATGCTTCCTGCAGCTGACCAACTTTTTGGAGATGCAGATTTCATTTTCCAACAGGACTTGGCACCTGCACACAGTGCCAAAGCTACCAGTACCTGGTTGAAGGACCATGGTATCCCTGTTCTTAATTGGCCAGCAAACTCTCCTGACCTTAACCCCATAGAAAATCTATGGGGTATTGTGAAGAAGATGCAATACACCAGACCCAACAATTCAGAAGAGCTAAAAGCCACTATTAGAGCAACCTGGGCTATCATAACACCTGAGCAGTGCCACAGACTGATCGACTCCATGCCACGCCGCATTGCTGCAGTAATACAGGCCAAAGGAGGCCCAACTAAATACTGAGTGCTGTACATGCTCATACTTTTCATGTTCATACTTTTCAGTTGGCCAACATTTCTATAAATCCTTTGTTTTTATTGGTCTTCAGTAATATTCTAATTTTCTGATATGATGAATTTGAGATTTTCATTTGTTGTCATTTGTAATCATCAAAATTAAACAAAATAAACATCTGAAATATATGAGTTTGTATGTAATGTATGAATATAATATACAAGTTTCACTTTTTAAATGGAATTACTGAAATCAATCTACTTTTTCATGATATTCTAATTTTATGACCAGCACCTGTACTCATGATTAGTATATTAGAATTCCTTCAGATGCAATTTCCCCCCAGTGACATGGAGCCAAACCTCACCCCCACATTCTTTACAAAAGTGACAACAAATTTGAGATTTAATGCAAAGCACTTAACCTTTACTTGAAAGAAGGTAATATACATCCTGGAATTACAGATAAAGATACATCATGAGCAAAATCATTTCACAATGAATATCATCTTTCTTTCACATTAACCAAGAGGAGTGCGATATAATCTACAGTTGCTGTTAGGAGAACAGTGAAAAGCACACCAGCCAACACGGAGAAAAATGTTATCTCTAAGCAGTAGTCCTCACTATAAACCTTAACCAAAGAAAAGGAAAAAGAAATACATTGCTGTCTTTCAACTAAGTAACTGCAATTCATACATTATAAATAAATGTAAGTGGGAGAAAACAAAACAAGTAGTACTACAAGCAGTATTCCACAATTCCAGCGTAGCTGAAATAACAAGAGGCCTAAGTTTAAACCTTCTGCTTTGGAGTGTGACCATACCTTTTCCAAACTTTTAAGATACTGTAGACTCTTCATGCTGATTTACCTGAAATCTTGATTTATGCTCTACACTCCTGAATAAATTGAGCTAAAAACCTTAAAACTTCTTCTGTGTAACAAAAGAACCTATAATCTCTTCTGGTGGGGTGAGAAATACTTTTTAGAGGAGAAATCAGCATAAGGAAAAAAAAAAGGCCTTAAAAGTTAAGGGTTTTCTTTCTCAACTCAAAGTTTAGTACTGAAAAAGCTTGTTCTCTCAGCATAGCTATGGGAGGTCACTATACAACTCACACAACTCTTCACCTCTAAAAGGAAATTATTTATGTTCTTTAGCTCTTTTAAGACATCTTGAGCCGGACACTCCATCCAGCCTGGTTCCACTAACTTCTTTTGTTGAGGGAAGCTCAGACTGTACACACTATAAACAATATTTGTTTGCATTAAAAGGAAAAGTACACTATAGTAAGTTGACAACTCAAAAGTTAATGTGATGATGCAGATTGGTAATTGTTTAAATCTACAGCATGTTGAAACAGGGGGAGGGTCTCTCAAACGGAGTACATGTTCTTGGTGGTGGAGCCGCTCTTACTGGACGTGTCGTCATGTGACTGGTAGCCAATCATGGCTTTTATAGGGAGGTTCAGACGCTCTTTGTAAAGTTGCCTGTAGAAAGAAAATGAAAATAAGCTCACAGTCACCACCTAGTGATCAGAAACAGCAGAGGAATTCAGCTCCGACTTAAGGTCACATAACAACCAAAAACTTCAAAGTGTATCATTGAAATTCTATGTGAAGGACCAACATGAAGCCGGTTTCCTATAACTGCTGAGGAAAAGCAACCCCACAGCATGATACAGTCCCCACCGTGATCAAAGGTAGTGATAGTCTGTTCAGACACACGAAGCATTTAATTTACAGGCCAGGAAGGTTAATGTGGCCTCATGACACCAGAGCGTCGTTCAGAATTAGTGCAAAGACTACTGATTGTAATGTTAGCAGATTCTCCCACCTGAGCTGTGGATTTCTGTAGCTCCACTGGGGGTAAAATATCCCTCATAGTTGTGTCTCTGGTAAAAGCTCTTGTTGTGCAGCAGCCAGTGAAGATGGGTGATGTGTTGACCCATTTCATCAACTAATTTCAGAAACTAATTTATTACCTAATCCCAGTATAATTGTCTGTAATTCACTGTATTTAGCGGTATCAGAGTTAGAGGGGCCTAAAAGCTTCAAGCCACACTTTTCAATCAAAGCTTTGCACTTACTCGTGATATTAAAATAGATGAAATTTATGGAGGTTTGTGGCTTTAAATGAAATGAAAAAATGGGAAAATGTCTGAAGTGCACAAATAGTGAAGTAATCTGACTTCCTTACTCACCCTATCGTCATGATGGCTTCCCTGTTTTGGCAGTTGCTTGTCCAGATGGATATTTTATCACCTTTTGGTCTGACGTTGACCACAGCTCCACACACGTCTTCACTCGCTTCATCAAATGAATCACCGACTAAACACAGGAGCTGCAAAATTCAGCATTTCAATGTGTTTTAATTATTGGATTTTGAAACAGATGATGGTAATTTTTGACTAGTGAAAAGACAAACATCAGTGTTACCGTTTCCATCCAGTAGCGATCGAGGTCATTGTGCCTCTGTTGTTTGTTTAGAGTCATCAGCCATCGACCCCCCAGCTTATTCCGGTCATCTTCCCACATTGGCTTAATCCCATCCTGGCACAAAAAACAAAAATTATAACTGAATATGCACACCTAAAAAACATCTGTTCTAGTGACCTTGATTTAACTCTCTGAAGAAAACAATGTCTTGCCTGCTTATTCTATTTTTCAAAGCTTAGACTAGTCCCTTGTCAACCAAGAAAACCAAGCCTTTGATTCAGAGATTTCACTGGTTACATGTTTTAAATATTTGATATATATGAAACCAGCCTTTCTAACTTTAAACATTAAAGAAAAAAAACTAAAATTGGCTTATCAAACACATTAAATAAGTCAAACATTATAGCACAGAATCCAACTAGATGCATGACAGCATGGGCAATACATTTACATACAAGTCAATAAAGAAATAAGGGATTAGACTTACCTTAAATAAGCTATAATCACAGCCATAGCCAAGTTTGCTAGGTTGCTGTATGTGGTTGTATAATCTGTAATGAAGAGCAGAGGAATTGTTGAAACACCAAGCATAGAAACTCAGCAGTATTTTAAACATACATATTAGGTAGGGATGCAAGATACGAGAAAGTGTTGCAAATGCCATAATATTGCTAAATGTTATGACAAAGATATAATATGTCCATTTTCTTCTTTCCTCTGTTTCCATCCCTCTGTGACCGATCCTGTGAGTCTATTTTGTTAAATATCACACCAGCAATATAAATGGAAGATCACAATAGTTGTGATACATTCGCAATGCTAATACTCTAAACAGCCCATTGGAATTATATATATTCATAATAAATTGTGCAGAGTTAATATTAAGCCTTATTTGCTTACGGCAACAGTAGCATGATTAGTAAAACACCCTGGATGAATAGAAGCCTGACAAAGACTTGATAACAACCCCTTCTTGTTTCTGCGTATGGTTTAAGTTGGGAGGCTGCATACATCAACAGACATGTTAATATCATAGAAATATTTAAAATGAATGTTTAACAACCACCTTCACCCCATCAGCTAAATAAAAAATCCAAAAGAACAAAGGGGGAGGGATTATTTCTACTCCTAATCTCTCTTGGTAGAAACCTGATGTAAATTTAAAGTTTATCTGATCCTGAAAATAATCAATGTAAAGCAAATTGCTGCAGTAAACACTTAAAAAATTCCACATAACAATGCATGGCTTGGACAAAAAACAAAACAAACAAACAAACAAAAAAAACTTACGCCCAAAAGTCTTCAACTGTGTCGAACTTGGAGATGAGACGCAGGTTCTCCGTCCAACTTTTACTCTTGTCATTTTTGAAATACCACAGAGCCCATCTAAAAAAAAAAAAAAAAAAAGAGTTTTATCCTCACAAGACAATTTTTGCACTTCACAAAATATTTACCATTTAAATATTTGTCTGAAAAAGGCTTCTACTTTGTATTGTAATCCTATGACCTCAGTTTACAACAGAACAACAGCTTCTTACAAAAGCAGGCATTGACGCAGAAAACCATCAGAGCTCTAGAAATGCAGCTTTTGTGTACAATGGGTGTATTTATTCTTTCATATGTTTCCCAGAGGGGGCGGGGCAAGCTGAGGGCAGACAGGGGACACCAGGCGAACTCAGTGCCCCCACCACCTACAGCTGTTACACTAAACCCAACCATCAGCAGCTATACCAGTAAAGCAAACCCTGTTTATATACATTGCAGAAACACCACTTAACACTTATATCCTCAGTTTAATAAACACTGTTGAAAATTCTTCAGATCACCACATATTTCTTACGTGTTAAAGGTGTCGCTAATTTTCATTTTCCAACGTGGTAACAACCCAAATCCAGTTAAGATTTCAACCACTTTGTTTTATTTGTAAAACTGGAATCACAAAACATTATGCTGAATTTAGAATCTGTTTTTACAGTGTGGTGAAGAGCTTTATGAGTTTGTAAGAGTTGAGATGATAAAAATATGAATATCTGAATAACTTAAGACAATATTTTATGCACATAAACAAAAGGTTTTAGCAATCAGCTATGTTTTGCATCTAAACCAGACTCAATTTAAAAACCAAATGTCAAGTTTAAATACCTGACTTAAAAGCATCAGTGTCAAACAGCTTTTAAAATTCAAGGGGTTGTTTGCTTTGTTTCTTAAATAGTGTGCATTTATTTATTGCTTTTTTTGTAATTTAATAACCAGTTAATAGATTTCCCAAAAACGCACAAGTTGAACATTAACTAGGAATGAAGGACATCATCTAAATTTAAAAATGCTTAACCTTGGATAGCAGAATAAGCAGCATTATTGGAGGGTTGAACGTTACATTCACAAAACAATGTTACACTAGATCCAACTATTTTTGATTTAAGCTGGGTTTGATCGAAAACATCTTGATCAAAATCTCATAGACCCTTAATATAACCAATTAAAATATGCAATAAATATTTGTTAAAACATCAACAGAAAAAAAGTTTTTTTTCCATTCATAAATATGTACTGGATATTTACAACAGCAAAAGTACTTTAATAATTAAGGATTATGTAATTATCTTTTCATTTATTTAGGAAAAACAATATTCCTCTGTGTTTTCAAAAGCTCAACCTGTTGTGCACCCTGCCTAGCAGCTGCTGCTTTCGAGTCCCACGTTTTAAGGAAATCAGGTCGAAACACTTGAAAGTTGGGAGACAATCAAGTGTAGCAGGTTTATAAACAAACTTAAAAGTGGTATAAATGTACACAATCTATTGTGGTTACAGTTTTAATACTCACCTGTTTTGCAAAGGGTGTTTGATATACTGCTCAGGATTTGCAATAACCTGACCATCAGCCTGTTGATCTTCAGTCTCAGCTGCTTTCTATAGAGATAAACACATAAACATATCATACATACATACACAGAAGACGACACGTATAGTTATCAATGTCTGGTAGAGGTATTCTGCATGAATTGTAATTTTTATGTACTGTAGACAAAGAAGGAACTAATATTTAAATCGGGACTACAAAAATCTTGCAATGCTTCTGAATAGAATTTTCATAACATTTTAGTCCTTAATCCCTGAAAACATGGATATTTAAAGTTTTAACATCCGACGTGATAAAGAGATCAGTGCATAAGTAAGACCTCTGAAAGCATGACTATAAACTTGGCGTGTAATGATCTGTAGCACAGGGGCATTCCACCATAATCAAGGAGATATATATATTTATATAAAACAATTTAAACTCAGTGTTGCCCCCAGTAAATATGACAAATAACTAAAAAACAAGTTTTTAAGAATATCAATGATTGTGTAATGTTCCATATAGTGTAGAGTGGTAATTAGTACAGACAGGGCTGCATCTAGGGTTTGCAAGTGCATTCAGGATATCCACTTATATTAATGGTAATAAAAAAATAAATAAAACACCTGGAACTGAGAGCTCATTCTCCTTTGTGATTTAAAAAAATGGTTCTGAATTTCCAGCAACACCAAACATTTTAAGCATCAGAGAACAGAAAACCCCACAAAACAGCAGACAAAACAGTGGGTTGATGCTGTTTTGTAAGGAATGGGGTGAAGTTATGCTGATATAACCAATAAAAACAACATTCCCACATCCTGCACATCTTACTATTTCAACATGTCCATACTATTGAATTTCAATTTAAAGCTTTCCTTTAGGCTTCCTGCTGTAGTTGGATCAATGCTTCACATTATAACTGCTGCTCATGTACTACTAACATCTACCATGAAGTGACCCCAGTAAACATCCATCCAGGTAAATATATTTATTTCAACCTAACATTTTCTTCAGCACCACAGACAGCTCCATGGATTTGTCCAGATCCCAGATTATGGGCACATCTGGTTGGATAAAACAATAGATATATATTAGAAAAAAACATTTAAATAAACCTGCTTAAGTGAAATACATGCAACTTCCCTGCTATTGAGGACACGTATATATAGAGATGAGCATAATTAAAGAAGGACAATGTCGTTTATGTGATCCTTTGAGCTCCCTGCTACATAAAATCCTAAAACAGCTGCAATTTTTGTATCTACCTTATGAAACACTTCTATGGTTTATAGGCCGTACTAACACAATATTATTAACTTATTCTTAGCTCAGATTTTGAATGATATGTATTTGCCTATCACTCTGAATTAACGTTTTGGGTACATACAGATGAAAAACGGACAAATAAATCTCGAGATATGTGTCAAAAAAGTCAAAACTGAGCTAACTGAACTAAGGGTGGCTAGCATTACTTTTAGCAACCGTGCTAGGCTAGCTAAAGCGCGATTCACACGTGTTTTTAACGTCATAAAATTTACCAATAACTTAAAAAGGACGAGATAAAAATGTCGCCACTATATTAGCCACTATATATTAGGTCTGATGTTGATTAAGAGTAAAGCAAACTACTGTGTGAAGTATGAATGAACAAGGTTCAGTCAATCAGTCCCTCCCTGCTGACAAAGTCAGGCACATTGCACTGCATGCTAACGCTAATCCACGCCGATTTAAAAAAAATAAAGTACTGCCACTTAAACACATTACTAGCGTCACTTTTAACTTGGAAACTTTGGGTGTTAAATCAAGCTGATGAGACGAGGTCCCTGCAAGCCTTTCAGTGCGCATCAGTTGGTTATTTTTATCCGTGTTTCCTCTCTCTTACCGGCTCCGATGTCGCCATCTTGACTCGTAGAAAATGATCTGACTGTACACTGCTTCAATCCACTCCTACGGAAGCCGCCACGGTTCAGTTTGGTTCGAGTTCGAGCAGGGCCTTTCCAAATCGGTGGCTACTCCCTCCCCTTACTCACTTCACACTACACTCGCTATGAAGCACCCTCGCTGCTGCTTTAGTTGTTTTTTTTAAATACCAAAATATGTACAAACAAATATAGCAATTAACAAATGTAAATCAAATTTAAAAAAACAAAACAAAAAAACCTGTAGATTAAATCTACAGAGTGCATGACTGAGGCACATTTAGATATTTAAGAATATCAAGTCAACACAATTTAAGTGAAATAAAGAGAACAAAATTCACCAAAATGCACAAAAAGTTGGACTATATGCTTAAGGATTAATGTACATTGGTGGGAAATTCTATCAGCATTTTATACAAATCTTATTTTTCAATATGTTAGAGATTTTAGATATAAATTAAATCATGATTAAAAAAAAAATGCTTGAAACCAGTGGTGATTTTATCATCTATGTTTGCGAAAAGAAGATTTTCACCTGGAAAAAAACGAGATAAAAAAACAATTCTGTTTCTTTTTTTGTTTTTCAGACAAAACTCCAAGTGTTATCATATCTCTAGAAATGTATTCAAAAAGCATACACTTTGTTTTGATCCATTTTTAAAGTTATTCCAAAATATCTTAGTTTTATTGTGTTCATAAAAAATATGGTCTGTTTTTTCCATATGTATTTCACAAAATTAGCATCTGTTATCATCAATGTTGAAACAAAATCTTAATCATTATTTGGAAGGGTAAAAAGCATTTAAGATTTTAAAGTGTGTTTCATTAGCTTTTGGTTGTATAGTTTTAGATGCAAGCTTCTTAACTGTTTAATAGATTTTTATATATATATTTGTAGAGTATGTTAATTTTGTTTATCTTACTAGCCAACAGAGTTTCATTTACATAGGTTCTAATTTTGAGGCTATACAATTTTTTGCCTGTTAGTAAAATTTCATTAACAGAGTGGCTAATTGAGGGTTTATGGAATTATAAGCTCAAAAATTTTGAGTTTGATTAACTGATAGTTAAATGGGGGATTTTTGTATGTTGAAATCATCTAGCAGTAGAAGTTTTAGAACTTTGTTAACGAGGCAATAAGGGATACTTACCAATATATAATTTTTAACCCAGGATTTTAACTAACTTTTATTTTTAAGAATACCATTAAGGCATTCAAAACCTTCAGACTAACATGTCTAATATCTTTTACCATGTGACCTTTTCTCAGGTAGTGTGGTCTGTTTTTCCAAATGAAGTTCATGTTCATTTGATTGATGGTTTAATACAAGTTATTTGGGAATACAAGTGGAATAAATTAATCTAGACAAGTATTTTTGATTGAAAGAATCTCCCTAACATAGAAAGGTCTTGTTGGAGCCATGACTTAAGTTTGGAAAGACATTTTTTGATGATGTTTTCAATATTTAAAGTTGAACTGTGGTTTTTACATTAAAATAGCTCCTAAGTATTTAATTTCAGATTTAAATGAGATGTTCAATATTTCTTTTAGGGTTTTATCATGAATGGATAGTAGTTCACTTGTCAGTAAATTATTGATAGTCCCGAGGCCTCTGAAAATAAATTGATTTTATCTATTGCTACTGGATATTGATGGCCATTTTTCAAGAAAAGGGTTGTGTCATCTAATTGTCTAATTTTTCAATGTTTTTCAGGTAAATTGCTAACATTTCTATCTGTAATATTGGAACAAAAGTATTTTAAGTCTAGCAAAAGACCGCTCTAAGGAATTGGGACACACTATGCACTTCAACCCTCAGTGGGAACACATAATTGAAGTATGCAAGGGTAGGAATGCAGGTATTGGGACTGGGCCAAACAGATACTTTCTTAATGTGGAGGGCCTTTGAACCACTCACACTCATACGTAATCGGTTTCAGACGGGACTTAATATGGCCGACCCTCCATAGGCACACAAAAGGGATGAGAGGTGGGTAGGGCGAGGGAGTAGCCACCGATTGGGAAAGGTCCATAATCAAAGTCTACGTTTTTAATTCTTAAAAAAATTAAGTCTGCCAAGATGTAAAAACCTCAAACACAAATTACTAATCAACTCATTTAAAATTTTGCAAAAAAATATAACTTATTGATGTATCTTATAAATATGCAAATGCAAATAGGAAAAACCTAAAATGGTAAATAAAATGACAATCAATCTAGAGTTAGATAATTAAACTGAAAATCCCCTGTGTAAAGGTAGTTTTACCCATAGATTGGTCCCAATTCCACTTATAGCTGTTTACTGTAATGCTAAACTACTTTGAACCAGATGAACCTGGAATCTACTGCCTAGAGCTCAGTTTCCTCCTTAGTTATTAGCTTTAAGAGGCATCTTTGTCACATGTGGTTCCTTGAGTGATCAGACCATCCGCCATTAGCCGGGGCTAAAGCTGACAAAAAGTCACGAGGAACTTAGTGATGAATCATTTTGCTTATATCATCTGGCTCATGATCCTTTAACTTTTGTAGTAGTCTCTTCAATTACAAAAAACAAAAAAAACAATCCAAGCTGTTAATTTCATCCCTTTAATATCAATCAAGTATTACACTGAACTCAAGAAAGACAACACATTATTTATGTAATTTGTTTATTAATTTGAGAATCCATTTGAAGTTTTTCATGCAGAGTCCTTTGCTGTCCTAATCTAGTTTACATATCTAACTTTTCAGAAATCCAAGACTGAGATCATCTGATGCTCTCATTTTAGGGACAGAGGAGAAAGATCTTGTACAGAATTGGCCATAGGCTGTGGAATGCATTGTCATCTTGTCTTCATGCGGCTTTGATTCAGTTAAATCTTTCAAAATGCAGGTTAAGATACAGCTATTGAAAGAGTAATGTAATCAACTAAAAGAAAAAAAGAAAAATGGTGGGGGTAGGTTAACACCCACCACATTAAATCTATCTGTTATTCCCCGTTTATGTTGTTAATCCTATTTATCCTTTTGGGTTTCACCACTGTGTATATCTTTGTCATATGAAAGGGGTCTTAGTTACTTAAATGATTGGAAAGACTTTTATTCTGAGTGTTTTTACATAGAGAAATACAATAATGACAAGATTGTTTAAAAGGACACTTTGGTATTTTGGCCTCAGCTCAGAATGCAGACTGACCTTTGGGCTTTTGTTTAATGAATACTTTATCTCAACTAGAGATGCTGCCCTTTTTAAAAAGCAAAGGATATAGTCCAACTGTAAACTTTCAAAGCTTTTAAAGATAGCATTGGTCCATTATTAAACTGCTCTCAATCCTGCAGGTAAACTACCAGCTCTTTTCTTTTTGCGGGACCTGTCACTTAGGCAACAATTCCCAAATAGTATCCTGAAGTAAAGTTTTTTTTATTTTTTATTTAATTCTCCGGTTTGATATTTTTAGTGCACAGAAATGATGGAATGAATCCAAAAAAATGTATTCAATGTAATGCCTTGAAAAAATATTCATATCTCACAGGCATTTCAATTTGTGTTAATTTTATTGTGCATGGTAGAAACCACAACTTGCTCCATGGACACTCCATACTGGTAATATTTGATTTATCTGTTTGAACAGATGGAGGTTGCAGAGGTCCACACTCTTTTTTTCTGATATGTTGACAGAAATATTTGGCTTTCCCACTGATGTCTAATGAGAAAGCAGTGTGTTCAGGTTGTTGCCTTTTTAATTAGTCGGATTAATTATGAAAAGTCGATTATTGAAATAATCGTCAACTAATTTAATAATCGACTAATCGTTAACTGGGGTAAACAGACTGTAAAACATGCCTTTAGCTGACAGACCGACACACTTAGAGCAGTAATTATAATATAAAATCCCTTTATTGTCCCACAATGGGGAAATTATACCAAGATTGTAAAAAAAAACAAAAAACATTTTGCATCAATATGCTCTATCCAGAACTCCACAAGTGGAAAAGTTTGAGTTTCATTTCATAAAAAGTGTTCATTAAAGAACCTTTGGCAATTTAATTATTAATTGATTGATCGATTTGCAAAAGAATTGTTAGTTGCAGCCCTATTTTAAATACAGCTGCAAATGTGCCTCCATTTAAGTGAACTGTTTTAAACCAGTCTATCTAAAAACTATGACCAATGGATTTTGTAAATTAAATGAAGGCATAATTACCTGACTGTATGTAAAATTTTACATTTGAAAGAGATATGAAAATTCTTTACTATACATTCCAGTTAAGCAGATATAAACTATTTGGGGTATATTAATTGACCTAAACAGCAATAGTTTAATCTGACTGAATATCAGACAGTTAGTGAAAAGTTGTCTTTTTTTAAGTGTAAGTAAAGTTCTGTTTTAAACTGTAAATGAAGTAGTGCTAGCTTGTAAAGAAGACTGAAAATAAAACAAAGAAAATCAAGATGAGGTCCAAAATATAAATATGACTTTTATTTCACAATCCCAAAAGAGATCAGCCATCCACAAAAGGAATGCTAAATTTAGTCTCTCCTCAAGTCTAAACTGGATATACTTTTACCAACATACAGTAATTCAGTTTCAAAATAAGCAAGATCACCCATTGTCTAAAACACCTTTAACAGTACAGTAAAAACAATGTGGTTCACATAGATATTTACAGTCTTTCTTAATGCTGGTGCTCATTACAAAAATGTTCCATGTGGACTGAAAATGTCCCAACAACAAAACACAAAAATACAACTTTCATTTTATCATGTGATGTATTTAAAATTCACTGGATTCTAAACAGCTTACATTCATGTATTTTTTTGCATGTAGGTTCTGATTTTTTTTTTTTTAAGAGCTGCTGGAGAATTCCTTACCTGTGGAAGACATTTAATCTGAAAGTAAAAAACTGCACCTTATAATGGAACTTGAGCAGATGTATTCATTATTCTCTCTGCTGTCCCTCGTCTGCTAGTAAATGTCAAAGGAAATGACAAAGACAATGTTTGCTGAATAAGTACCACATGGATAGGTTTTAGAAAAAGCACCGTTATGC